TTGACTAAGGCCCCAGTTCCAGTTGAAGAAAAACAGCCCCAAAGCATGATGCTGCCACCACCATGCTTCACTGTGGGTATGGTGTTCTTTTGGTGATTTGCAGTGTTGTTTTTGCGCCAAACATATCTTTTAGAATTATGGCCAAGAAGTGTGGAATAACAGCACAGTATCGAACAGAACGTGGGAGTGGGAGCTGTCATAACATTTCTGGATCAGATTCGGGAAGTACAGCACAGCATTGAATAGGGTTAACTCTTTGTATTATCAGCAGTTGGTTTGCTGCTAGCACCACCCTGCTTCCAATCAGCCCCTGGTTAACTTACAAAGTCAACCCCAGCAGCACCCGCGCTCTATTTAAAGCTGTGCTGTACTTCCCACATCCGATTAAGAAATGTTATGACAGCTCCCGCTCTCGCGCTTTGTTCAATACTGTGCTGTTATTCCACATTCGCCCCAGAAATGTTCTGTCTCCTGCTGTCCGCTCTGCTGTTATAACAGCGGCAGAGGATGGGGGGAAAGAAGCCAATCCTAAATGGTGTGATCGAGTCCTGATGAAACAGTGGCTAGGTCCGCATCCGGACCACGGTCCGCCATTTAGCGATGCCTGCTCTAATGGGTCAGATACATAAAAAGTCATTGATACATAGTTAATGATCTCAATGTGTTGTGTTACAATATAACATTTGTCCTAAAAAGAGACACTATTTTGTGTATTTGATATGGTGATGAAACGGTTTTGGTAATTCAGTTACAGCAGATGTTCATATTGGTGTGTTTCATAATTTAGGTGATATTTCACCATTTTTTGCTTGTCTTGCAATAACCATTCATCAGATCACTTAAGGCTATGATCTTCCAAATGTATAACTTTGCTCTATTACACAGTGCCCAATCACACACTTATTTCATTTTCTGGACTGCCTTATCTGGATTGCACTGGTCTGAATATTTAGTTTAAAATTATTGCTTTATTGTATATTTTTCTTTATGTTTGTGATTGAACACACCTGCTTTTAAGTACAACGTTTGTGACTTTAAGGGGTTTATTTATTAACAATTTGGATAGCAATTCACAAGTAAAAGTGTGTGTACATACCTTCTGTTTGAATGGGACAAAAAAATGAATGTTAGGCTATTCTGGATGAATATTTTTCATAATATTGCATTTGGCCATTAGATGGCGTTTAAACATCTTAGGAATTTTCTGTGATCCTTAGTACCATCTAGTGGCGCAATGTGTGTTTTTTTTTTTTTTTAAATCAGTGAAAAACAATCATCCAGTGCAGGAAATAGCCTAATAACATTTGTTTTTGTTTTTGTTTGCACCAGAACAAATGAACATGCACTTTTACTGGGCAAATGTCTATGCAATTTAGTGTTTGTGCCATTTTTGATGTAGAACGTGGTGATGGCAAAAATATTGTATATACAGTTAGTCAAATTTGCAAATGGCTCCAGATTTCATAGAATGAGTTTTAAAGAGAACCAACATAGTATACTTAACATTACATGTCACATTTATTTTTCCTTTGCCATAATGACCATTTTTCAAATGTATTTACTTTTTTCCCCTACTTTTCCCCATCAAAATGTTTAGCGTTTCTCTCTTCAAAGTTAGTCTCTCTTCATAGTAATGGCAACAGGCCACCATGGAAAGTACCATTTTGTACTATGGATCCCACAGTGTGTATGGCCTTAGCTCATTGAAAACTGGAGTACAAGGGGCAGAAGTTTAGACGAAAAGGACCTGAGCAGTAGCGATGATGAGATGCATACTGTAAGAGGTGGTGAAGCCAAGCTGCTATTGGATGCAGATATATTATAAAAATATGTACGGGCATCCCTTACAGATGATGTTTCTACAATGGTTTTCATTAAAATGGACAAAATGTTAAAGAAAAAGTAGAAAATATATGACAAAACTAGCAGAAATGCCACATTTTTATGCAATATCTCAACGCAGAATTAGAGTTTAAACAGAGCATAGAAATTAATTGTATCTGTGTGACTCTGTGTTGAACTTGCGTTGATCAATGCAGGCCAACATACAGTGTTGTGAACAAGTCCTTATGAAGAAAAAATTAGTTAAAAATGCACTTTGATCTAACTTTTTCCAAAAGTCATGTGAGTTCACCATCAGTTTTTATTTTCACTTGGCTTGGCTCTCAAAATATACCATCCAGAGTGCCCTCAAAGCTTTATATATCAGGCTAGGTTCACACATATGCAGTTTGCATTTGATCTGTTTCTGCAGTGCTTTTTGTAGTGTGTTTTGTGTTTTGCACGTGTTTTTGATGCATTTTTTATGCGTTTTTCGTTTTTATGGGCTTTTTTGGACAACTTGTTGCTGAGCAGATTAAAAATGCAAAACGCAAAAAAAACGCACTACATGCATTTCTATAGCATCTCCATTGAAGTCTGTTGAACCAAAACACAATGTTTTGCATTTAAAAAAGTCCTTGACCCTTTCCAAAAAGCGCACCAGGTGAAAATGCAGAGATGTGAATGTGTCCCATAGGAAATCGTGTGAAATGGACTGTAGTGCATTTCTGCAAAATGCAAAACGTGCTGCAAAACGCTTAGGTGTGAACCTAGCCTCAATGTGATTTTAATCTGTCCAGCAACAAGTTGGCCAAAAAATGCAAAGTGCATCAAAAATGCGTAAAAAAGGCATGTGTAAAAGTGCAAAACACAATGCAAAAAGCACTGCAGAAACGGATCAAACGCAAACTGCATAGGTGTGAACGTAGCCTTAGGTAGTTTATATTTTAGGATTTTTTTTTTTTAAAGTGGAAGCTCCACTTGTTCGCCTCCTCCCCCCTTCACTACCATATTTGGCACATTTTGGGGGGGAGCAGGTACCTGATTTTTTACAGGTATCCGCTCCCACTTCTGGCTCAGTTTGCCACAGCGAAGTGAGCCGGAAGTTCTTTAGATTTTTTAACATATAAAAAAGTCATTTTAACATATATTTTTACATATATTTCTAAATGCATTCCAAAAATGTAGATTTGTATTTTTAAAGACACAGTATATTTGAAATGTATTTTTACAAATTTTTTTTATATATTTTGTAATAAAAATGCATTCAACATGCAGTATATATATGTATTTATTTATTGAAATATATTTTGAAATATATTGAATTTGGCCAAAATTGTGGCATTTCAAATATATGACAAAATATTTGGGAAGAATATTTTTAAAATATATTGCAAATATTTTTCTTCCATATGGGTAAATGACACAGTCATGGGAATTCTGGTGTCTTTGCAGTTCTTGACTGCGTTAACAAATGTATGACACAGATCAGTCCCCTTTTGCAGCCTGTCACATCCTGACCTGATACAAAGTTACTTTATTGCAGTCTGACCACTGAGGAGAGATGATTGAGGATATTTTTTCTCCTGCAGCAGTTAGATGGCATCAAACTGCAGCACAAAGACTGCTTTTTAGGCCTCATACACACTGGACGTTTCTCTATATCTCCCAGATGCCTTTCTTCTTGGCGGCAGCATTTTTGCAGAAAAAATGCTTGAAACTTTTAAAAATGTTTAGGTGCTGCAAGTGTTTGGGAGTTAAAGTGATACTAAAATGATACTAAAGGTAGCATTTGTATTCTTTATTTTTTTTTTTTTTAAACAAACATTTTATACTTTCCTGTTCTGTGGATTGGTTTTGCATAGAGCAGCCCAATCCTCTTCTTTTGGAGTCTCCTGCCACAGCTTCCCCCTATTGAGTTCCTCCATAGCAAGCTGCTTGATATGGGGGCACACATGCGTGCTCACTCCCGAACCTTGCTCTGAGCCAATGAGGAGGGAGAGAGGCATGAGGGCTGTTGGATCAAGATCAGGCTCAGGTAAGTATTAGGGAAGACTGTGGATGGGGGGGGTGGGACTGCACCCAGAAGGTTTTATTTTAGATAAAATTAAAGAAGGTAAAAAATCTTCAGCCTTTAGAACCACTTTAATTTCATTGTCCAAAATAATAATTCATACAGGCCGTTGAAATTAATTAATGCTCAAGCGACTTAACGCACCCAGTGTTTACAAGCGTCAAGCGTTTTTCTGCCACTGCTCCTTAATACACTGGCAGTGGGTTGTCTTTCTGCCTGTAAACTTCCTTGCCTTAAACTCCAGAAACCTATGTGTGCATGGAACAGCTAGGCTAATTTGCAGGGGCATTTAGCGGCAGAAAAGAAGAAACGCCAAACTCCCCTAGAAGCAGCTGAAAAAATATCCAGTGTGCATGAGGCCTTAATAATAAAAGGTACAGCATTTGTGAAAAAATGATTCTGTCGTGTATTGTGATATGTGAGGAATTTATTACTGCAAACCTATAAAATTATTGAGTAGTCCACATCCAGCTTGCTACGGGATTTTATTGGGCTTGTGGCTAGGGTCAGCGGCTTATCCTGAGACTCTAATGGGGATCCTGATGTAAGGGGTTCTCTGATGGGGACTCTGATGTAAAAGAGACTCTGATGGGAACCCTGATTTAAGGGGTGACTTTGAAGGGGATATTGATGTAAGACAGGATTCTGATGGGGGCGCTGATGTATAGGGGAACTCTGATGTAAGAGGGACTCTGAAGGGGGCTCTAATGTAAGAGGGGATCCTTATATAAGGGTGACTTTGGTGAGAACCCTGATTTAACCCCTGATCTAAGGAGGAACTGATGAAAGGAGGGAATTTGATGTAAGGTGGACTCTGCTGGGGACCCTAATGTAAGAGGGGACTCTGCTGGGGACCCTAATGAAAGGAGGGACTCTGATGTGATTGGGGGCTTTTAATGCAAAGTTATTTCTTGGAGTGTATTCATTCATTTAAAATGTACTCATTGTTTTTGTGGCACACAAATATTTTTAAAATGTACAATGTGACCCTTGTACTGAAATGTTTGTAGACCTCTGATGTAAAGCAAGGAATGTGTGCTGAAGGGCAGAATCATAGTCCACTTGATCCCCCTTTAGCAAATATACACTATATTGCCAAAAGTATTGGGACACCCCTCCAAATCATTGGATTCAGGTGCTCCAATCTCCTCCATGGCCACTGGTGTATAAAATCAAGCACCTAGGTGTGCAGATGCTTCTACAAACATTGTGAAAGAATGGGTCGCTCTCAGGAGCTCAGGGAATTCAAGTGTGGTACTGTTATAGATTGCCACCTGTGTAATAAGTCCATCCATGAAATATCCTTGCTACTAAATATTCCACAGTCAACTGTTAGTGGTATTATAACAAAGTGGAAGCAACTGGGAACAGCAGCAACTCAGCCATGAAGTGGTAGGCCACGTAAAATGACAGGCAGGGTCAGCGCAGGTTGAAGCAGACAGTGCGCAGAAGAAGCGAACAGTGCGCAGAAGTCGCCAACTGTCTGCAGAATCAATAGCTGAAGACTTCCAAACTTTGTGTGACCTTCTGATTAGCATAACAACGATGCGTAGAGAGCTTCATGGAATGGGATTCCATGTCTGAGCCGCTGCATACAAGCCTTACATCACCAAGTGCAATGCAAAGTGTTGGATGCAGTGGTGTAAAGCACACCGCCACTGGACTCTAGAGCAGTGAAGATGCGTTCTTTGGAGTGACTGATCACGCTTCTCTGTCTGGCAATCTGATGCATGTGTCTGGGTTTGGCAGTTGCCAGAAGAAGGGTACTTGTCTGACTAAATTGTGCCAAACGTAAAGTTTGGTGGATGGTGGATTGGTGTGGGGTTGTTTTTCAGGGGTTAGTCTTGGCCCCTTATTTCCAGTGAAGGGAACTCTTAAGGCATCAGCATACAAAGACATTTTGAACAATTTCATGCTCCCAACTTTATGGGAACAGTTTGGGGATGGCAAGGTCCATAAAGACATGGATGATCAAGTTTGGGGTGGAGGAACTTGACTGGTCTGCACAGAGTCCTGACCTCAACCTGATAGAACACCTTTAGAGTGGAGCAGAGACTGCGAGCCAGGCCTTCTTGTCTGACATCCGTGCCTGACCTCACAAATGTGCTTCTGGAAGAATGGTCAAACATTCCCATAGACACACTCCTAAACCTTGTGGACAGACTTCCCAGAAGAGTTGAAGCTGTTATAGCTGCAAAGGGTGGGCAAACTCAATATTGAACCCTATGGACTAAGATTGGGATGCCATTAAAGTTCACGTGCGTGTAAAGGCAGGCGTCCCAATACTTTTGGCAATATAGTGTATTTTTTTTACCAAATTTCTATGCTTTTTGAATAGCACTAGAGCAGCATTTCAATCAAAATTCTTTCCTAAAAGCAAACAATGCACGATATCTGCTATCACCATTATTATCCAGAAAACTGTCTGCTCTGGCAGTATAAGTGGGTGGGCTGAGGTTAGCTCAGAAGTTAAGAATGTCAAGTCCCTAGTAACAAAGTGAAGCAGAATCAGAGAGGTTTACAAAGGGCTTGAGATTAATCAAAGTGATAGCAGCATTTTTAAAAAATGTAAATATTCACATAACTTTTAAACATAGACCCAATTTAAAGACCAACTCCATCCAAATGTTTTTATTTCATCTTGGATAAATATGCGGGCAAAGATTGGAGCCTCTGTCTGGTTTTTACTGTGGTTTTTGCCCTTATTGAGAAGATTCTTTTTGATTCCAGTCAGAGCAGGAAGTGATGGGGAATCTCTCCAACAGGAACACAGACAAAAATAAAACCACATTTTAGTAGAGTGGGAAAGGGATTTTCTAACACCATTTTTATTGCAGTTTGTCCCTGACTGTGCAGGTCTCAACCAGACCTCCATTTCTTGTATAGGTGTCACAGGAACACAAAATATGGAAACATATCTCTTTTGGGGTAAAGGAAAGAAGTAAAACCCTGAGAGTGCATTTAATTCTTCTCTGCTCTGTCCAAAACTTGAAAAATAAAATTAATGCTGGCTGGGTTCTATTTTCTTGGTCCAGAGATGGGAAAATAGGCATCTTTCAGCATCCGTGAGTATTCAGTTACATTTTTTTGGATACATTTCTGAGTGCATTTCCAAAATGTATTTAACACATTAACAAAAATGGTACTATATCTACATATTAAGTCAGCCATTGGTTCTCTCACTTTGATGAGTAAATTAAGAATGAAATGAAGCTTAAATGAGTATTATTTCAGGAGAAATTAAACAGCTGAAATAATTGTAGAAAATTACATTATTGTTGAAGAAGGTTGGCACCAAGGAAAGAGCAAAGTGTCTATTGGTGCCAAGATCTCAGTGCAGGAGAGCTGGCTTTTGTTGTTGATAGTTCAAGCGTCCAGCAAGGTTAATATGGTTTGGTAGGAGTAATTTAGGCTCCTGTTTGTAGCGGAGACCGTAGTGTTACTCCACATTATGCCTTTCATATTATGTTCCATTCATAAAAATCAGGCTGCAATGTGGAGCTTCTGGGGTCCCATGGAGTTCTTTCTGCTAAATGCTGCAAAACGACTCCATGATTAAAGGACAGGACTGTCACATGACTTTTACAAGTCTTGTGACTGACTCTTCTCCTACCACCACATTTTTCCTTCCACCGGTATTAATTGTGCTTCAATTTCTCTGAGGGCCCTAAGCTAGCAGAGTGCAATGCACATGCAAAAAGACATTGTTGTGCTTTAGAAATGCATAATTTTTTTTTTCAAGCAAAAGTACGTTACTGTGCAAAAGTCTTAGGCAGATGTGAAAAAATGTTATAAATGAAGAATGCTTTCAGAAATAGATGTGTTCATAGTTTATTTTTATCATTTAACAAAATGGAAAGTAAACAAATTCTTTGCCTTCAAGACAGCATCAATTCTTCGATTTTTGAAGGAACTCCGCAAGTAGGTTATTCCGAATATTTTGGAAAAGTAACCACAAATCTTCTGTGGGTGTAGGCTGCCTTACATTCTGCTGTCTCTTCATGTAATCCCAGACATACTTAATGATGTTGAGATCATCACTTCTAGGACTCCTTGCTCTTCTTTACACTGAAGATAGTTTTTAATGACTTTGGCCGTGTGTTTGGGGTCATTGTACTGGGGCAGAACAAATTTGGGGCCAATCACATTCTTCCTTGATGGTATGGTATGATAGATAAGTATCTACCTGTACTTCTCAGCATTGATCCTGACCAAATCTCCAACTCCAGCTGTTGCCTACAGACACTTATTATTGTACAACTCTCCAGGCCTTCACAAATAAACTGACTTTTGCTGCAGCCAAATATTTAACATTTTTACTAATTTTCTGCACCTCGGTTCATTTGTCTTCATCCATACTGGAGCTGCTTAGCATTGTTTCCATATCCTACTCAAGAAAACGTGATCACTGTGACCAATCACAGAGATCAACACAATAGTACACAATGAATGGACGCCATTCATTGTGCACAATTGTCATGTGATCTGCTGTGATTGGTCACAGCGGGTGACAGATCTCGCCGCAGCGCAGCTTGTGGGGTGCCAGCAAGGAGCATTCCATCCACCTGGAATAGTGATTGTCCTGTCAGGCCGTTATTTGTCCCACTGGGTGGGAAGTGGTTGAAGAAAGAGAAGAATACTCAGCTTTCCTCCATCAGTCCTCGTCTGGTGACGACATCTTTTTCTTCGTGCTGGTTTTCATGCATCTTCATTGGCAGGCATTGGATGACGTCACTCCTGCAAGGGTTAATCATCCCAGCACACAGGGATGAGGTTGGCCACCGCAAGCTGAGCTATGCATGTGCAGCTCAGTTTACATCCTGAGAACTCTGAGAGCAGATTGATAGGTGTATTTTATTGCAGAAGGGACATTCCAGGTCTCTTAGACAATAAAAAGCCTGCTTGCTCTCAGTGTGTAACTTTAGGTCCACTTTAAAGTCGGCTATACATGGATCAGAATTTGGCTATATAGCCGCTCAGATCACTTTTACATAAAAGAGAAACACGAGCAGTAAAAAAAACAGTACTGGCTTCATGGTTGTAGCCTAAATATGAGCTATATGTATATATATATATATATATATATATATATATATATATATATATATATATATATATATATATATATACACAGGTGTACCTCGGTTTACGAATTTAATTCAATCTGCGGGACTTTTCGTATTGTGGAAAATTTGTAAATTGAAACGTGGTTTCCCATAGGAATGCATTGAAAACCAATTAATCCATTCCGGAGGTCAGAAAAAAGGAAAAAGAAAAAGTCTTTTATCTGTTCAAAACTCTTTATAAAGTGCACTTTAATCACTTCCCTCCTGCCATATAGTGCAATGACGGGCGCAAGGCGGTTCTCTCGTTCTGGGAGGACATCATATGATGTCCTCCCATTCTAACCGCGCATGCGCGGCTCCGGAAGCGCGCAGCGCGGCGATCGGCGGTGCGCTGTTTCCCTCAGACACAGCAGATCACTGATCAACGGAAAGAGCCGAAGATGTCGGCTCGGTTACGTGATCATCTGTGTCCAATCACAGCTGATCACATGTAAACAGGGAAATGCCGGTCATTGGCATTTCTCTCTTCACAAGTTGTCACGCTGACAGCTCGAGAGGAGAGCCGGTAATCAGCATTCCTCGGAGGGGACATGTACACAGATCATCAGAGCACTGATGATCAGTGTGCCCTGATGATCTGTGTAGCCCCAGCAGTGCCACCTGTCAGTGTCCATCAGTGCCAGCTCTCTGTGCTCATCCATGCCACCTGCCAGTGCCCATCAGTGCCACATTTCAGTGCTTACCAGTGCAGATCAATGCCACATATCAGTGCCCATCTGAGCTGCCTTTTAGTGTCACCCATCAGTGCCAGTCAGTGCCACCAATCAATGCCAGTCACTGCCACCTGTCAGTGCTGCCAATCAGTGCCATCTATCAGTGCCAGTCAGTGCCGCCTATCAGTGTGCATCAGTGCCCGTCAGTGCTGTATATCAGTGCCGCCTAACAGTGCCAGTCAGTGCCGCCTATCAGTGCCAGTCAGTGCCGCCTATAAGTGCCATATATGAGTGCTGCCTGTCAGTGCCCATCAGTGATGCCTGTCAATGCCCATCAGTGCCACCTACCAGTGCCTCCTCATCAGTGCCACCTATCAGTGCCCATCACTACAGCCTCCTTAGCGCACATCAGTGAAGGAGAAAAATCACTTATTTACAAAATTTTATAACAAAAACTAAGAAAAAACTTTTTTTTCAATATTTTCAGTGGTTTTTGGTTTGTTTAAGAAAAAATAAAAACTCAGAGGTGAATAAATACCACCAAAATAAATCTCTCTGTTTAAAAAAAATGATAAAAATTTCATATGGGTACAGTGTTGCATGACCGCGCAATTGTCATTCAAAGTGTGACAGCGCTGAAAGCTGGAAATTGGCCTGGGCAGGAAGGGGGTATAAGTGCCCTGTAGACTAGTGGTTAAAGGCATAAATACTGTACAGGGACATGATTAAAAAATTAATTCGGAAATGCATTGAAAACCAATTCATCTGTTCCGGAGGTCAGAAAAAAGTCAAAAAAAGTTTTATCTGTTCAAAACTCTTTATAAAGTGCACTTTAAAGGCATAAAGGGACATGATTAAAAAAAAAAAGTTTGTAAATGCATTGAAAACCAATTAATTTGATCGTGTTGCGAAAAACATTCATAAACTGAGGCATTATTATCAATGGATTTTCATTCGTAAACCGAGGTATGCCTATATATATATATATATATACAGTGGGGATCGAAAGTTTGGGCACCCCAGCTAAAAATTTGTATTAATGTGCATAAAAAAGCCAAGGAAAGATGGAAAAATCTCCAAAAGGCATCAAATTACAGATTAGACATTCTTATAATATGTCAACAAAAGTTAGATTTTATTTCCATCATTTACACTTTCAAAATAACAGAAAACAAAAAAATGGCGTCTGCAAAAGTTTGGGCACCCTGCAGAATTTATAGCATGTACTGCCCCCTTTGCCAAGCTGAGACCTGCCAGTGTCATGGATTGTTCTCAATCATCATCTGGGAAGACCAGGTGATGTCAATCTCAGAGGTTTTAAATGCCCAAACTCATCTGACCTTGCCCCAACAATCAGCACCATGGGTTCTTCTAAGCAGTTGTCTAGAAAACTGAAACTGAAAATAGTTGACGCTCACAAAGCTGGAGAAGGCTATAAGAAGATAGCAAAGCGTTTTCAGATGTCAATATCCTCTATTCGGAGTGTAATTAAGAAATGGCAGTCATCAGGAACAGTGGAAGTTAAAGCAAGATCTGGAAGACCAAGAAAAATATCAGACAGAACAGCTCACAGGATTGTGAGAAAAACAATTCAAAACCCACGTTTGACTGCACAATCCCTCCAGAAAGATCTGGCAGACACTGGAGTTGTGGTACACTATTCCACTATAAAGAGATACTTGTACAAATATGGTCTTCATGGAAGAGTCATCAGAAGAAAACCTGTCAGGGATCTCCTCGATCCCCGCCGCGATGGCCCCGGCGCAGGCGCAGTGCACCGCCCTGTGCAGGGACACGGGCACTAGGTCCGGGCCGGCCGCGGCGTTCGAGTTTGCGCATGCGCAGTAGAAGCCGCGGCTGCCCGCTGGGCACCAATGGCAGCGCAGGGCGGGATATTTAAATGGCCCTGAGCTGTCATTCAGTGCCTTCTGGTCTTCCCTGCATCCTGTGAACCTGTACCTTGTAAGTTTTGACCCGGATTGTACCTGACCTTGCTGCTTTCTCCTACTCTGACCCTTGCTTTGCCTGACCTCTCTCCTGAATGCCCCTGATTGGATTTGACCTGCTGTTGCTGACCTGGCGTGTGACCCGACCATTCTATGCCCACTGCCTTGTACCTTGCCGTCCTCTCTGTTACCGACCTTGCTCATCCATCCATCCATCCATCCCTTGCAGTGGGGTCTTCTGACCTCCTCACATCAGACTCTTCCCCGTGGGAGCCCTTGGCGCATACCACTACCACTGACGGACGCACCCAGTAGCCACGACCTGGTCTCGGGGGGCTCCAAGTCCATCCCCACCATCAGGGGCCCTGGTGAGCAAGCACCCTGGGACTTAGATTCCGTGCGCTGGGGACGCCTATTCAGTGGAGTGCTAGTGGTACCGCCAGGCGGTCCCTTACATTACCAGAAGGCCATGACTGAGTCTAGAGGAGGGCCCTCGCCGCTTGAGGAGATCTGCAGGCACCTGTCTAATTTGACACAGGCCGTATCGGCCCTGCAGGATAGATGTCAGCAGAATGAAACCCAATTCCAGACCTGCACTATATCCGTTCCTGCCCCACAGGCCGCGGTCCCCGCACCCCCAGCCGTAGCAGCCCCTGTGCTGGTTTCTGGGGCATCCGCACCACTCCCGGCGGCCGAACCCCGAGTACCCTTACCGGAACGTTTTCACGGGGACCGCACACGCTTCAGATCATTCCGCGAGT